TTTGAAATCCTTAGGGAGTGCTCGTGATTTCATAAAATTTCGTAGGATTGTATGCAATAAGATTTTTAAAATGTTAAAAACATTTGTTTTGTAATAATTGATTAATAAAAATGCAATTTAATTGTTTTTATAATTATTTATATTCTTTTTTATAATTATTTATAAATAATGAAATCTAATTCCATTCAAAGTCCTACAAACCAAACATACCAATGATTTCAAATTCATTTTTCAATTTAAATCCCTCCAAATCCAAATCTCTAAAAAACAATCATGTAAACCAAACGTACCTCTTATTACTTTTTTAATCTAGAAAAATGAAAAAAAAAATTAAATAAATATATCTTACAAATAATTTTCCAATCTTTCCTGTAGTTTACAAAAAAATATATTTTACAAATAAAGTATTTTCTTAAATATGAAAAAATGAAAAAAAATAATAAATAAAGTTTATGTAGAAAGTGTTTTTCTACGTAAACTTTTTTAATATTTTTATAAAAGAAATTGGAAAAAATAAGAAAATTGAAGAAAAAAAACAAAGTCCACGTAGAAAGCAGGTTTTCTGCATAAACTTTGATAAGTTGGCATCATACGTGTTTTTTGAATGTCAACCAAACAAAGTTTACGCAGAAAACTTTCTTTCTGCATGAATACTTTTGTTTTTTTAATTTTTTTTAATAAAAATAGAGTTTAAGAAAAAGCGGGTGCAAATGAAGGGAACACGAAGAGGGAGAACGGTAATGGGAGATGGATAATAATTGTTGAGGAATTAAAATGTCGCTGAAGTCTTGTTTGTTTTTCATAAAAAACTCTTATTAGCCTCTTATGTCTGATTCGTCAAAAGGCAAAGCCATTCAGAATGTTTGTTTGTTTCAATTTTTCAGAGACACCTGTTTTATTTTTTTCTTATCTAATAAGAGGCAAACCAACATCTTATTTGCCTCTTATTGTTCTTCAAATCTTCAACAACGACGTTTCTCAATCGATTAACCTTAATCGATCATTTATCTTAATCAATTTCTTACCAAATCAATCTTCGCCTCTCTCAATTAATGTATTTACTAGGATGTAAATGTGTTAAACACCGTTAATGACATATTTTTGTTTAAATTAATATTAATTATATAATTTACATGTTTCATAATGATGATGAATAAATATATGAAATTGTATAAATTTATCTATAAATTCAACACTATAATTTTTAATAGGTAAAATAGACAATTTGAACAAATTCAGACGTTTATTGATTTAGATTTCAGACTTCAGCACCATCTCTTATAAATCAGAAGTGAAATAAGTTTTCAGACTTCAACACCTCTTAAAAAACAAATTTTACCTTAATATCCATCATCTTAATAAAAATATTTTTAATACGCCAAGAAAGGACTTACAAGGCATAAAAATGCATGCATAGGTCCTAAATCTATACTATACTATAAAACATTTTACAAAAACTCTTAAAAACCATTTTTTATACATGAAGTACTGTTTATTGATGCATATTATTTAAAATTCAAGATTAGAAGTAATTTTACGTAAGTACAACTTATTAAAGATCTATTTTAAATTCGTGTAACTAACTGCAGACAAACATAATCAAATATAGGATAAACATCCATTTTAAATATAGAAAATCTAAAATATAATTAAGATAATCATTGAGTTCTAACAAAATGTTTAATTATTATCTTTATAAAAAATTATATTATTAAACCAAAAATAAATTACTTTGTTATTAATCTAAATTAAATTATAATAAAAAATTAAATTAAAAAATTATACCTAAAAACGAAAACTATTAAATATCACTCTTTATCACCACTCCTCGTTGCTCTATCGTTGTCTATTATCTTTATTGTTCATTGCGATCGTTGGCCTTTGCCATCAATCTCTCTTTTTTTTATATGTTTTGTCTTTCGATTCTCCTTCTTTTACAACAATTTAATAGAGCTCACATACAAATAAAAAAAATGGAGAACCAAAATACAAAAAAAAAAAAAAAACACTAAAAAGAGTGAGATCGATGATATGGGCCAACAAAGGTGATAGGCTGTAATAGAGAGCAAACGACAATGGGGTGACGGAGGATTTGAATGACGTAGGCTTGGGAAAAGTAAAACGGATTTAAGTGTTTTTTTTTACTTTAATATTTTCCTAGCCGATTTCAGGTAGTTTTTTTGGGTTAAAAGAATATACGTAACCAATTTTTAAAAATTCGATAGTTTATTTATTCAAAAAAAAGTTTAGGACTTTAATCATTCAAAAAATGAGAAAATATAATGGGTTTTTCATTCAAAAAAAAGTTTTAAGAACTAAATCATTTAAAATAAGAAAGTTTAATGAGTTTTTTATTAAAAAAATAAATAAAGACTAAACCATTCAAAATGGAAAAGTTGATTGAGTTTTTTTAGATTTTTCCATTAATGAAAATAAGAAAATAAAATTATGGTAGAAATTATAATATAATTATGAACGAAGTTAATTACGGGTTGGTATAATGTCTAATACATATATTGATTAAGGATTCAACAATCATATTAAATACACGATATAGAAAGACATTGGATTTATCAGGTTGGGTTGGGTTCAAATGATCATAACTCAATTCCAACCCAATACCTATAGTTTTAAAGATTTTACAACTGATTAAATATCGTATCGCTTCTGATTAGGCTGAATTATTTCGGGTAGGATTGGGTTAGTCGTTTTTCTTGCACACCTGGTTGTATTTGCTTTCGAGTGGAAAAAAAATACCGTTACAACATTTTGTACTTTTATTTGTTTCAAATAAATTAAATACTCGTCAAAACTGTTACCCGATCATGAAAATCAGATTGGTTTTCCTGAAAGTATGTTATAACTTAAAATGTTTTAATTTGTACTAAATTATCCTCCATATCTGATGAAGCATCTTCATAAAGTGTATAACTAAAAATCCAATATACATACATATATATATATATATATATATATATATATAGGTTGTATTTCGGATATAGAAAAAAATAGGATTTTTTGTATTGATCCAAGAGGAGAAAACTTTCAATAAAGTGTATGACTATTTGTATTGATCCAAGAGGAGAAAACTTTCAATAAAATTGAAGACTAGTTAAAGTGAGATCAAGATCGTTAGCAAAGAGGATTGATTTGTCATCTAGCAAAAAACAAGATCAATATAATATAACGTCAACTAGTAGTCTCACAAATACTATTACTAGCAAGCCGAATCTTGGAGTACAAACTTGGTCAATAAGTTTTGCTCACTAACTCTCTTATTTTCTTTTTCAGTATGAGAACATGTACAACATGTTAGTTAAAGCAAGTACAAAAGTACTATCTAATTGGTGACATACTTACTTTACTGTTCCCTCGGCATACATGAAGCTGGGATAAGTTAACAAATTGTCTACATCAAACTCAACGGCTAAAATGAAGAGTACTAGGATGCATGGATCAGCTAATCAAAAGAAGATATACATTAAACTTGGACAATAAACATTTAATGCAATGGTAGCTATAAAAATGTCACTTTTGTCGTTCAATGCTACGCACCCGTTTTGTAATAACGTATTTGTGAGTGTTTCGTAAACAAAATCGGCATCATCCTCTGAAGAACTTCCTTAGTTCTTTGGATATGAAAGAGAACTTCCTTTCCCTACTTTTTTAGTTTTAACAAATTTGTGACGGTCAGATTGTTTAAGATCACTGGCCTAAGGTTTTATCTTCCTAATTTCTGCAACAAATCTGTAATTCTTTATTTTATACAAAATATAAAATCTATAATTAAAAAGTGAAAATTTGTTGTGCTTGTATTCAACCCATTTCTACAAACACTTCATATGTAAGTCATCACTTCCCAGGACCAACAGTATGAATTAAATTAGTATCTTAAATCATGTTTGACGATAATAAACTAGCCTATTGTTTAAATAGTTATAAAATAGGTTATTTTTTAAATTATTTTAGATAAAATAGCATTTATGTAACACATACGATTTTGGGCTCTTCGTTGAGAGCCTATTATAGTCGTGTGACTTAAAACTGGTCATTTTATAAAAGAGGTTGCTCATTTCTTCACCCCTAACTCTTCTCCGCCACCATTTTCTCTCTAGACCGGGTTTATGTGAAGCTTGAGGTCCGATTTTAAGGAACATTGGAGGTATCTGTTTGTGATTTAAGAGTTCTTGAAGTTGAAGGCAAGGTCCCATATCTGATATCTCCATCAAAACATCAACAAAGAGGGAACAAAAACGAGGAAGAAAAGCAAAATAGGACAACAACCAACGGGGAAGTTGAACCGAACACAAAAGATAAAAGGCATCAACAAAAGAACGAAGAAGCCAAGACCAAATCACAATTCCAGCAACTAAAAATCATAGTAAACTCAAACCAACTATATCTATCGAGACCTTGACCTCCACATCAATCCATCCATGAAATATTGAACCGTTTGGCTCGTTTAGAAATCCAATGAAATGTTAAGGAGTTGGAGCTCAGAAAGACGACCGGTATGAGTATTTCCCCGATTAGAAAAGATCCGATTATTACGATGGTTTTAGATCAAGTAAAGAACCGTCCATATTACGATGATTAGAAAGGAACCTATTTGTCTAGATAACAAATATTTTTATTTAAAAGATTTTTTCATAAACTGAATATGGATGAAACATTTTAGAAAAAACTTTAAAGAGACCCTTGCACTACTTAGTGGGTGTTTGAGATTGCTTATTTAAAACAATTATCAACTTATTATAAGTCAGAAGAGTTTAACTTATTTAAAAACTCCTTATTATCGGTTCGATACCAGTAAATTATTTATCTAAACATTTAAAAGTGCTTATTACCAATGTCATACCAAAATAAATAAGTTATTTTTATAAACAATTCCAAACTCGCTTGAGCATGGATGAAACATTTTAGAAAAAACTTTGAAACACCCCTTGCACTACTTAAAAAAAGGGTGTAAATAAATAGGGTTGTGTTTTCCACCCGTACATGGAATACCGCTCATAGATCGACCAAAATCTCTCTACTTCTCGGATCGTCTCTATCCTTCAACCTTGAGACAACCATGGCGTTTCCCTACATGGAAGCCGTAGTCGGTATGTTCATATCCTTTCTTTCTCATTATGTTCCTATATTAGCTATGTATTCCGCTTATCGTTCCTTTTGAGTTTCTTCATTTATTTGCTGATTTTGAGGAGTAATTTGTCTTTGTTTTTTCATTATTAGGGTTTTGCGATTGCTACTGTTGATTCTACCTTATACTATTATTGGTTTGATTGTTTGTCTTCGACTGTCAGATACTTTGCTTTTTGTTGAAGTAATTGCTAGGGTTTTTGTTTGTGATCGTGGAGGAATGGGTTTATCCTTGGCCCTTGGGTGTTAAATTATGTTGTATCTAGTATGGCTTACAGGCTTAGTGTATGCTTACAAGTAATGTTCTTAAAATGCTTCTTTTGTGATCCAACTTTGCTCATATGGAGATTGCGGGGAGTAGTAAATCATTAAGCACAAAAGTAACTTCGAATTATTAAGTTGAATTTTAGTTATGGTAAAATGGTTACTGTGATCCGAAGTTTGACTTGAATTTCTAAGTCTCTTGGTCCTTGCTGAAACACTGGATTTCTGTGCCTATATGAATATGGGTATTCAAAGAAAGTGAGAAGCTGAAGATTATATATTTAATCTTCATTTACTTTACCTTAACCCTGCCACAAAGAAATCTAAAATGAATTCAGAGGCTGTCAAAAGTGTTGCTAATTTTAGTGTTGCATACCATTGTAATTGTAACATTGTTCATATGTCTTTGTTTATCCTGTTTCAGTTTTCAGATTTATATAAGTTTTGAATTGTTTTTGTGACTTAAAAATCCTGATTATTAGTAAATGCTGCTAAAATTTTGTTTAAACTGGGTTTGGCTATGTTTCTGATTTTATTTATTATTTTCTTTTCCAGTGTGAGAATGATGATTTTTTTGTAGCCTTTTTTGTCATCTGGAAGCTTTTGAGCTTTTTTGGTGTAACTGTAAAATTTGTAATACAGATAAAGTGAATTCCTCTGACTACAGTTGCTTTTGATTCCCAGGATTCATGATATTGATGTACATCTTTGAGACATATCTAGATTTGCGACAACACACTGCTCTCAAGCTGCCAACCCTTCCTAAAACTTTGGAAGGGGTGATTAGTCAGGAGAAGTTTGAAAAATCTAGAGCTTATAGTATTGATAAAAGGTATTTTCATCGTCAGCATATTTCTTTTCCTGCAGGTTGATGTTTCTCCTGCAGCATGCTGATCGAATTTGGTGATCATATATGCTCAAACTGCTGATTCAATTTTCTTCTTCTTTGTGTGTTTTCTTTTTTCATTTCTCAGTCGCTTCCACTTTGTTCATGAATTTGTAACAATAGTGATGGACTCTGCTATCTTGCTATTTGGTGTATTGCCTTGGTTCTGGAAGGTGGGTGGTTTAGTGCCTTATCTATAAATTCTCTCAAAACATATTTGTAGTTGTCTTAACAACCTTTTATCATGTTTCTTTAAACAACCACAGAGATCAGGTTATGTTTTGGAAATCGTTGGCCTTGATGCAGAAAGTGAAATATATCATACGCTCGCATTCTTAGCCGGTGTTATGATTTGGTCTCAGGTACATGTATATGTTTTTTTCTTTCACTAGCATTGATTTCCACTTGATGAAACTAGATCAGAAGTTCATATTTATAACAAATAAAAGTTTGCTTACTTGCACATATGACATATGCAGAACAACATCTGTTATATGCCAAAAATTGTACCATCACATAGCTATAACAGTTGCATGGATCACATTTACATCAGAAGGTCTTTATGTATACAAACAAACAGAATGCTTATTTGCACATGTAAGAAAAAAATTTCTGTATGCCCAATATTTAATTACTGCATATCTATGACTGATTTATCTTGTCCCATTTACGTGGATTGGACTTGCAAATTTCTTTGTCAAGTAATCTTTGTCAAAATCAAGACTTGTATATCTAAATCGGCTACATATTTCTTGTCCATGTTAGTGTTGGTCTTCTCTGAACCTATTTACATACTTTCATGGTAAGGTCATTTTTTTCAAGGTCCATTTTGGTCTTCATGGGACGTGCTCATCCAATCTGAATGCTTCTCTCATGCTAACTCATTTTCGCCCAATTGTCTTTACTGGTTTTGTTGCCATCTAAACACCTGTCTTCTGTAAACAAATGTGTTGCTATATTAGTTTACAGACTCTGCTGACATGAGAAGTGAAGTTTGGTATAGGCAATGTCATATCTTCACCAACATAAGATATCTCTTTTCAACCGAGGAACAAAACAAGATCATCGCTCCAAAAGTGATTTGCTTGTCCAGTGGTACTTGTCGCTTTTCTCCGAAGGCTATTGAATTTCAAAGGCTTGTGGAGAGTTTGTGCTAGGAAGATTGTATAGGAAAAAATATGGATGTCTAGTGGATATGTTGCTGGATAAGGCTAACATAGTCAGAATCAGGGTCCTAAAGCTTACATATGGAAAAAGTTCCTTTTGGGAGCCAATTTGTTGTGTGCACCTAATCACCAAATCTATTTCGAGTTCAAAACTCTTAACAGTTAATACATAGATATGGGGTCTTCCAAACACTATGATTTTTCTGAGATTAATTTGAAAGTGGGGCCGGGTTAAGTAGAGTAGCCTCTTGTATGGTTTTTGTATCTATTGTGAATGTTATGCTTGATATAGGGACAGGACATTTATCTATTTTTTGGTTGGTAACTTGTCTGGCTCTTCAAGTTGATTCTTGGTGAAGTTTGAAACACATGTGGTTGTTAAAATTCTCTCTACCGAGTATTCACAGGCCTTTTATTCTAGTGTTCATTTCACTAGTATTTCTCATTGTTAATCCTTTAAACCTGTGTATGCTGCTGTAATCTTACTGTTCATTTACATTTTATTTGATATACTTTGTGCAGATCACAGACTTGCCATTTTCTCTCTACTCGACTTTTGTAATTGAGGAGCGACATGGCTTTAACAAGGTTTTATTGAGCATGGTTCCTGTCATTTTATAGTTGAACTGCTTTATATATCAAAATTTGGAGTCGATCTTTATCTGTACTAGATATTATATTTGTAACACATGATATTTATACTTGCAGCAAACAGTTTGGCTTTTCATTCGAGACATGATTAAGGGCATGATCTTGGCTATAATAATAGGACCTCCTGTTGTGGCTGCCATCATTTTAATAGTACAGGTACTGGAAGTGATATCGTGGATGATGTATTCCTTGCGATATCATTTTTAGGAAAATTCCATATTTTAGTTTTTTGCAAATTTGTTATAGCAAGAGTGTTCTCTTTTCATTGCAGAAAGGTGGTCCCTACTTGGCTATCTATCTTTGGGGATTCATGTTTGTTTTGTCCCTTGTCATGATGACAATTTACCCGGTTCTGATTGCACCCCTTTTTAACAAGTTCACACCGGTGAGCATTCAACTTTTAATTTTTTGATAGAGAAAGTCCATACATGATTGATTGTTTAAATGTATTCCATCTCTGAAATATTTCATCTGCATGTTACCAAAAATAGCTACCTGATGGCGAGCTTAGGACAAAAATTGAGAATCTTGCTTCATCTCTCAAGTTCCCTCTGAAGAAGCTTTTTGTTGTGGATGGATCTACAAGGTCGAGCCATAGCAATGTGAGGATGTCTATTTTATTGCAAAATTTATCCTGATTTCTGAATTACCTTTAGCTTTGAAGATCGATAACATCCAGATTGTATGCCTCAGGAATTATTTTCTGGCTTTTTGTTTCTATGTTTGGGCCGTGATTACACTTTTGTGAAGATCCCACTTTTTCTATTTCCACAAGAAAGATTTTCACCTCTTAAAAATCTTAAAAAAATTCATGAAAGAAACAGAGTGATTTCTGATATAGTGATTTGAGTTAACCATTTATGTACTATTTACTTGGAAAATACTTCATTTTACCATCTCCTTTTACACTCTGGCAACACTTCACACGTTGTTCATTCACCTGTTCGGGAATAATGCAACTTCTTGTTACTCTGCAGGCATACATGTACGGGTTCTTCAAAAACAAGCGCATTGTGCTTTATGATACTTTGATTCAGCAGGTATTGTTCTCTATGTATTTATTCTGTGTTTAATAAAGTATCAGGTTTGCGAGCATATCATAGGACCTAACAAGTAGTGTAATTCATTTTTACTTAAACCAACAAGGGTTCTACCTTTAGAGCTTAATTTTTGTCTCAAATCAGCTTGTACTCTTGAATGTTGGGCAGACTTGTTGGTATGGTAGAACTTGTGAATTTTGACACCCTTTGTTGTGGGATGAAACCATGTTTATATCAGCTTAACAGCTTTCTCATGGTATTGATGTTTTATGTAGTAAAAGTTGTGGTTGGAGCTACTTGTGCATCAATATGCCTTATAATTCAACATGTGTGTCACCACTACTTTACAATGGATATGCTAACGAGTAACAATGCAGGGTTAAAACATGTTTTATATTAATTAGTCTTTTTTTCTTCTATTTTCTGCTAGTAAATCATCTTATGTGGTAGTGTATTCTTGCATGTCGTTACGTATACGTTAATTGTCAGTATTTCATAGGCGTGATGCTTCAACTGTACTTTCTGCTCCAAATGCTTTTTCTTAAATCATTTTTTTCTTGTTTGTCCAAGATTTGTTTTTTGTTGAAATGCAATCCTGTTGAACAAAATTCATGTTTTTTTCTTCTTGTAATTTATTTGGTTTAACGTGGTATGATGCTATGCAGTGTAAAAATGAGGAAGAAGTTGTTGCTGTGATTGCTCATGAACTTGGTCACTGGAAACTGAATCACACAATGTATTCTTTCATTGCTGTTCAGGTGTGTGGCAAATGTTAATTTCTTGTAATTGTTGCATTATAGAATACCAAGTTTTACACATTCTGTTTATTTAAGGGACTAATTTTCTACTATAGGTGTATCTTTTATATTTTAGTGAGAATCTGTATGGAAATTAAGCCGGCCCATCATATCCCATAAGTTCCAAAAACTGTTCCCCAGGTGTATATCCACTGGGTAGCAACAGTTATTAAATAACGGAAGCATTGTATAGAAAACAAGCTTATTGTTCAAGCATAACACCGGAAGATAACCAGGATTGGTGGGTCCAAACATAAAATGAAAAGATCCATTTGAAACTGGTGACCTGATGGTTCATTTGCAAGACTAGGGAATGGTCCATTCGGTCAATTGGGTTTAGCATGTGTTAGTTACCGTCCATGATCTCATGGTGTAAGTTGAGTTTTACTGCAAATTAATGCTATTTTGTAGTAAATCGTCGATGATCATATGGGATGAAGTTCTTTACAATTCTGAGACCCCTCCTTTCTGGCTTTGTTGTTCACAACTTGTCTACTTTGTTAGTTGGTTTAACATGTAGCTGAGGTGTAGATTAATTATTAGTCTTGGACTCTTTTGTGTTTAGAGTTTCATTTAAATGGTTTCTGTATGTTTTAAGTGACGTCGTCTGAAAGCTTTTTATATTAATCTGGAATTAAGTCATTTATTGTCATTGTGTACTCTCTTCCTCTCAAAACAAATGCAGCTCTTTGTTATGCAGATCTGTCTGCCCAATAGTTCTTGTGAATAGATTAATGATAGGAAAACAAGATTTTCTCATGCTTACGGGAATTGTAGTTCAGACGCGGGAATATATTTGGTGTTTAACCTGTTTAGATCCTGTGGCTTGTTTCATTTCTTTTGTTCATCTTAATGGCAAATAGATCTTACTTTTGACTTGGAGGAAATATGAATTGACGTAGATGGTGTACTTACTTTGCAGGTTCTTACACTTTTGCAATTTGGAGGTTATACACTCGTAAAGAATTCGAAGGATCTATTCCTTAGTTTTGGATTTGATACTCAACCAGTACTCATCGGGCTCATATTATTCCAGGTACACTTATGAATCTAACAACTTTATTTGAAATCTTGTATTTGGTTTATCCTTGCTATACATCTACTTTTTGCCGAATCCCTTTTTCGGGTGCTTCAGGGGTGCAGCTTGGTGCCGACGTGGTGTATTTTTTGATATATTTGAAGTCGTTGATCACAAATACAATGTGTGCATGACCGAGTTATTTTAGTCTTTTTTTGAAAATGGAAAAATAAAAATCCACATAGTAAATTTAATGATGGAATGGAAAAATCAGAAGTAGAAGAGAAATAAAGGAGGGACAAGGTGGTACAAGCTCTCTTTTCTTGATAGTTTAGATCATTGTCAGTGCACTAGCAAAAGTAGGAGTTGGGTGAAGGTTTAATCTTCAAAATAGTTTTGTTTGATTTGAGTCACACACATGTAAGTTCACACACTCATATAAATGTACCCTGTATCCTTAATCTATAGGATTGCTAAATCTTAGAATGTTTGGCAAAATAGAGATGTGAAATGTGATAGAGGGTTCATTTGCTATCAAATGTGGAGAATTAAAGATGGCAGTATGGGATCCACAAAATTAAGAATAGAGGAAAACGATGTAAAAGTATGGAGCTTTTATATGCTCAATCTTGTCAATGCACTAATATTTTTTTGTTGGTTTTAGAACAATGATTACATCCTTCCTCAATGATAATGACTCATTCAATACCTTTTTCTATCATGTAATCTCCCTTGTTTGAATACTCCAAGATGCTGCGCTCTTAGTGTTTTTTTTGTTTGACCGTAATATGCTGTTTTTGTGTCGAATTTTGATGCTAATACTCCCTTTTTACTGGGATGATTTGATTGCAGCACACCATAATACCAATCCAGCATCTTGTGAGCTTCTGTCTCAATCTTGTCAGCCGTGCTTTTGAGTTTCAGGTAGCTTTAACTTTGGATATTCATGTCCAAATGATGTTTATTCTACTTCTTGATCCTTGAATATATAGCTATTTCTGACTATGGCTGTTCTTTTTTTTCTTTTTTTTTTACCAAGGCTGATGCTTTTGCAAAGAAGCTTGGTTATTCTAAACCACTTCGAGATGGACTAGTTAAGCTTCAGGTATTCTTCTTCTTTTTTTTCTTTTTTATGGCGTCTTTGCTCTTCAATTACTTCATCCATCCAAGGATAAATACGATGTCCCAAAATAAATGACCACTTTCAAAAGTACGTGCCTACTTTCTAGTTCTACCCTTAATTATGAGATGGAGAAATTGTTTACTTCTTCTATTATTAAGGGTAAAACTGTAATTGAGTTAATAAAAAAGTGTCACATTTCTAAAACTGTATGCCTTTTTTATTACGGACATGTATTTTGGGATTGAAGGAGTACTTGACAACATAGAGGAATCCTGTGAATGATTCGATATCTTGGGACTGTTCTAAAAGCTTAAGCTGCCATCTAATCATTAAGTGCCCATTGCTTCGATTAGTTAACGTAGTTTAATTGACCACCTAGGAGTTAAGTGTCCCCGCTGTCTTTGCTCTTCAATTACTTCATCCATCCAAGGATAAATACGATGTCCCAAAATAAATGACCACTTTCAAAAGTACGTGCCTACTTTCTAGTTCTACCCTTAATTATGAGATGGAGAAATTGTTTACTTCTTCTATTATTAAGGGTAAAACTGTAATTGAGTTAATAAAAAAGTGTCACATTTCTAAAACTGTATGCCTTTTTTATTACGGACATGTATTTTGGGATTGAAGGAGTACTTGACAACATAGAGGAATCCTGTGAATGATTCGATATCTTGGGACTGTTCTAAAAGCTTAAGCTGCCATCTAAYCATTAAGTGCCCATTGCTTCGATTAGTTAACGTAGTTTAATTGACCACCTAGGAGTTAAGTGTCCCCGCTGTCTTGGTTAGCAGCTAAATGTTGAATTCTGGTTTTCAAAATTAAGCATGGATTAGTTGACATCTCTCAAGTTGGACTTGGAGAACCCTTTTTATCCTTTCATTGGAGAAATGAAGCAAGTCATTTAGGAAAATAATTATATCAAAACAATATAGTATTGAATTTCTAATTTTCTCATGTTCAACAATTAAGGAATGTATTATTTTCAAATGATCCGCCTATGCTTTGCGTTATCGCCTTGTTGAGGTTAAGTGCTAGAAGGCTAGCAAACCGCATAGCTCCGGTTAATGCTTTATAGAAAATTGTTTGGTAAGGAGCGTAAACGGGCAAAGGGGTAATTTGGATTTCAACTTTGCCCGAAAAGGGAACACATTCTATTTCCAGATCGAGCGAATGGGTATTACAAGTGAGTTGTTCCATGTGGGGGTGCAACATTATAGCAAAATTGGTTTCATAGGACGCGAAATAATCTGAATGTCCTAATAGACTGTTTCATAGGACGAAACAATTGTTCATCCTATGTCAAGATATTACAATATGTTGAAAGGACTCTATTAACCCGTTTGGACCGTATAATGTTCTTAGGACATTTTGAAATTAAATCGCGTATTTGCTTTTTTATAGGACATTTTTTCCAACACAGTTGTCAGTTGCTTTTCTTCTGCCGATTTATCGTTTGTTTTATAAATCTATTTTTGTGATTAATTTATGCATATATTTACGAACTTGCAGGAGGAGAACTTGTCAGCAATGAACACGGATCCATGGTACTCTGCTTATCACTACTCTCACCCTCCTCTGGTTGAAAGGTTAGCTGCCATAGACAAAGCCGATAAGAAGGCAGATTGATACAAAACGGTTTGAAGATTTTAGAGTGTAGACTCATATCGATCGATGTTCTTGCGGACCACACTGCTACTCTTAAAGCGATACATTTGTGTTTTTAGACGAGAATAGAACGTTGGTATGTGGTCGAGGTGAGGAAATGTTAAAAAGGTAAGGGGATAGAAGAAGTATCATGTAGACTTTGTCATGAACATTTTTATCCAGTGTAAAACATGGTTCTCAGTTGTGGATGGATGTACCTGCTTTTCATTTCCTTTTATTTCGTTTTAAGCTTTCTGCATTTGAGAATCGGCAATTTTTCCCTTGGTGTTACCCCAACGTCGAGTCTCTCAGTTCTAGCGGTGTGTTTGGTACACGGGTCAGGACAGAACAAAAACTCGTCCCTGTGATGAGATATGATGTAACCGAGTGGGCAAAAATCAAGGACAAAAACTAGTCCCTAATTGATTGTGGACAAAAATCAGGGAGATGAGACAAGATTAGTATATTATCAACATGTCTGTCAAATTAAAATCCTAAAACATTGTACGACTCCCCTTGATCTTGCTCGTCTTGTCCAATTTTGTTAAATCTTGTTTGCATGCCAAACGCACTTTATATGGAGAAAAGAATAGAACTCTTGGGATTAGGTCTGGTGCGTTTGATAATGGAGACGAAATAGGGTATTATAATAAATATTTGTTGTGTCATGTTTGTTGTGACAATTAAACTCGGACTAGATGAGACCGGGTGGATGGACAAGATACAAACTTTTTTGCTCCTCTTAAAATATTCATTAAGGGAAGACAATTTGAAATTATGGTTTCAAATAAATGGTCGGCATCCGATTATTGATAAAGAACAACTGGAAATATTTATCTAACAAGATTTATTTAAATTAAAGTTATGCACAAACGGTTTTCTTTGGCTATCCAACGCCTTGTGACCGCCTGCTTTCAACGTCTCTACATTGGTTGACGTCTTTGAATAATCCTAATGATCATGTCTCTTCTGGTTGCATTGATTACACGTTTTATCTGTCGGAACCTCTACTTGTAATGGAATATGTAGCTCTTGGGTTTCGTACTTGTGATTTTGATACGACTAATATGGAGTTTGATCTCTCTCTTGGCTTTGGAACGGTTGAAAGAGAGTTTGGTACGACTCATATGGTGTTTGGTAGCTCTTTTGGCTTAGATACGACTGATACAGAGTGCTTGAAACTGCCTCATCGCTTTGGGACGACTGATATGGAGTGACTGAAGCTATTCCTTGGCTTTGGTTCGGTTGATACAAAATGAGTCTAAGTATGTATTGAGGGTGTCCTGGCGGATACCGAGTGACTAGAACTCTTTCTTGGCTTTGGTTCGGCAGATACAGAATGAGTGGAAGTGCATATCGAGGGTGTCCTGGAGGATACGGGGTGATTGGAACAAGCTCTTGGTTTTGTCCCGACTCATACAGAATGACTGGAACAATTTCTTGGTTGTGGTTCAGCTGATACAAAATGAGCGGAAGTATGTTTTGAGGGTGTCCTAGCGGATATGGAGTGACTGGAATAAGCTCTTGGTTTTGTCTCGACTTATATGGATTGACAAAAACTACCTCTTGGCTTTGGTTCGACTAATACAAAATGACCAAAAGTATGTATTGACTATGACCTGACTCATACGAAGTGACTTGAACTAATTGTTGGTTTTTGTTTAGTTGGTTTCTCCCGACACCATAATCTACAACATACAGTCTAAGGGCATGTGGTGAAATTTCCACACCAACACCTAGAGAACTTCTCCCGTCGTTGTCATTAAATAACTCGACAAAATCATCAGACAAAGGAGATTTGTACATTGACCTAAAACCACGATGCAAGCTTAATTTTCTCGCCAAATAACTAATCAAACTTGAATGTGTTGCATCAATCGGTGGCAACACGACAATCTTTTGAGTTTCTTGAACATAATCCAATACCCCATTAACTACCTGCCACAAACCTTCCCTAAAAACACGTACCCGAACTTTCTCAATTTTTGTTGCTAAACAAAATATGGGAAATGTGAGATTTGGGGAGACATATCAAGAAAAATTCCCTTGTTTGCATTTTAAAAGATTAGATACCTCATCATATTATATAGATGAAAGAAGTAGATTCCTTCGTTATTGTTGTCACTCCATTGTTGTCTGTTCTTTATGTTGTCTATCACACTATTAGCCTTTACCATCGATCTCCCTCTTTTTGATATATTTTTATGGGGTTATAAGTAGTCTTACTTTAAAGCCTATCTAGTCGGGTACATCTAGTTTTTTTTTTAATTAAAATGATGCAAGTAACTAATTTTTAAAAGTTCGCTAATTTATTTTAATTAAAAAATTGTATATGGACTTAATCATTCAAAATGAGAAAGTTTAATGGTTTTTTCATTTAAAAAAGTAGTTCGCGGACTTAATTATTCAAAATAAAAAATTTCAATGTTTTTCTCAGTCATAAAATAGTTCACGAACTTGCTTATTCAAAAGCGGATAGTTTTTTGGGTTTTTTTGAACTTTTTCTAATAATTATTACATTGTTTAATTATCAAAATGACTATTTTACCCTAAAATAGAGATAGAAATTTTCTCCACTACATAATTAAACGTAAAATGAAAAAAATGGATATTTATTTTAAAAAATTAATAAATAATAATGTAGATATTTATTTTAGTAGAATGAATAACTTGTATATTCAATAAAACTTGAAGAAGAAAGATTCCACTTCGTGTTCATTTAACAATGCTTATATTTGATATTTCTCTAATTTTATATTTGGATAACATTTTTATGTGTTTATAAAAAATATATAATAAAAATATTTTACATTCTGAACAGAATACATAATACATTATGAAACAAATATATGTTAATCAATATATTAAAATCTAGCTGTATATATGATAAAAAAGAACTTCATGAAAGGTTTAGGGGTTGTTTACCCAAATGCTTACTCGGTAAGCGCTTAACGATAGAAATCATCATTATTATTTATTTTGTATCTGATAAGATTGTAGTATATTAAAATGATATTCTATACAACAATTTACCCAGTAAGTACTTTCTCGGGTAAGAGTCGTCACCCTCACTTACCGGGTAAGACTCTCAATCTTTATCATTGCTCTTATCATGTAAGATTCTTGACATTTACCATGTTCATCCGATGAGGGAAATGTTCGATAAACACTTACCGGGTAAGAGTTTAGTAAACAATCTCTTAAACTAATAGTTTTCATAGCTATCAGAATATATATATATATATATATATATATATGAGGTTCTCAAATTATTAAACCCCTAATTATTGATTTTATTGATATTTATGGGTGAAAACGACCATGACAAAATAAACGTACAATCAATAAATTATTTAATTAAAATATTAAAGTAAAAATAATAAACTAAAAAACACATGCATTTCTTTGGAAAAATAATCTGGCATTCAGAATTAATATATCTTCTTGGGAATTTGCTTCAAATATTTTAGTCCCAACTTGTTAATTTTGTCTAAAAATAATCATGTTCTTAAATATCATAATTAATTAATTAATTATTAAGATATATTCTTTTTTTAAAATTGTTTTCAGACACATTCATTGATTATAATCATTTCCTTTTGATTCCAACTCAAATCATTATCATAAAACTACAAAATTTAATCATATTAAAAATTTATAATATAATTTAAATATATATTGTTAGAGTAAACTATAAATTTGGTCCTTGTGGTTTGTCAAAAGTAGCATTTGTCATCTATGTAGTTTCAAAAATACAAAATATCCATCGTGGTTTACAAAAAAGTTTGGATTTGGTCCCTCCTTTTAATATCCATTATAAAATTGCATTAAATGAGGGTTATTTTTGTCTTTTTTGTCATTTAACCAATTAAAAATTATAGGAGCAAAATCATAAAATTGATTTTGATTAGTTAAAAGACAAAAAAAACGATAAAAGAACGAAAATACTTATCATTTAACAAAACCTTTTAATGGTCGTTAGAGGGAGAGATCAAACCTAGATGTTTTTATAAACTATGATGGTTTATCTTGTATTTTTAAAACTCTAGGGACGAAAAATGTTATTTTTAGCAAACCGCAAGGACTAATTTTGCAGAGGATTATTAAATGCAATATTATAATAGCATACAAACGTACTTTCCTTTCAACCCATTTTCGATAATATTTAATTTTTATATTTTAAAATGCTTATTGTTATTTTATTTAAATGAGAGGAATATATTAATTCAAATAATTACAAAAAGTAAATAAATTGTATAAAATGAATTTTATGCATTAAATCATTTTTTGGAATTCAAGCCTCTACTACAAATACTTCCGATATTATCAAGTTTTTATGGTATTTAAGGTGTGATGAATTATAGTATCATATCAAGAACACCTTACCACATATGATAAGACACATGAGTGGCCTAGCGGTGTGCGATAGACTTCGCCGGAAACCTAGGTCGCGTCAAAGGTCGTTCGCATATTTGATTTAGTATCACATGTGTATCAATATCAAATGAGATAGACTATAGTAACACATGTGATTAGCTATGATAAAAAGATGCTCTCTCGTTCTCGTAAAATGAATTTGTTATCGTTTGAACCATTCCTTATATACAGAGATATATTAAGCTTAAGAAATCAAATTCTATTTTTTATATAAATCACCCTAAAAGAATAATAATTTTTTTAAATATAATAATTTATTTTATTTTCTTGAAAGACGAACAAGTTATTAAAAAAAACGCACTGAATACAAAGGAGAAAGAAGAAGGAAAGCTTTCTACAAAACATTAAACAGTCGTGCAAGACATAGAAAGTCAACAACCGAAGTAAACACGCTAAAAACAAGAGCCAGAAGGACTACAACTAAAAACCGAGAAAAACAGCATGAGCACCCGAAAAAACGATCTTAAAAACAACAAACTCGAAGAAACGCTCACCTAGTTTTAAAAATATAGCATAGTTTAAGGGGCCGTTTACCAAACGCTTACTCGGGTAAGTGAACACCAAGTCATTTTAACTTAACGCATGAATATGGTAAGGATCAAAAATCTTACCCGATAAGAACGAGACAATGACCAAGAGTCTTACCCGGTAAGTGAGGGCGACGACTCTTAACACGATAAATGCTTACCGGGTAAATTGTTGAATACGATACCATTTTGGTGGACTAAAATCTTATCCAGTAAGTAAATGATAGTGTTAAATTTACCGGTAAGCGCTTACCGGGTAAGTGTTTGGTAAACGACACCTAACAAATTATTTGCTAAATCAAATATTACTTTTTTATTAATAAATAATAATCATTATATATACACACACACACACACGCTAGAAGAGTACTCGCGCAATGCAGCGAGACACGTCTCGATTTTAATATTCTATTTTATTATTTGTCTCTGTCGATATTATAATACGATTTTATGTGATTTTAGGAAAGGAATAATAATTTTATTTTTGAATAAAATATAAAATTGAAGATATCATAAAATTTTGAAAAAGAATATATCAATGTTAATATCAAATCAACAATTATAAAAGTTCTCATTTTTTATGTGATTTCTTTAATTTTTTTTATTATAATTAAATTTAAGTTTAATAACGAAATAATTTATTTTTGGTTTAATAATATAACATTTTATAAAGATAATAATTAAGTATTCTGTTAGAACTAAATGATTATCTTAATTATATTTTAGATTTTTTATATTTAAAATGAGATTTTATCTTATATTTGATTATGTTTATCTGCAGTTAGTTACACGAATTTAGATGTGGAGCTTTAATAAGTTGTACTTACACACAATCTACTTGCACTCTTGAGTTTTAAGTAATATGTATTAATAAATAATACTTTACGCATAAAAAATAATTTTTAAAAGTTTTTGTCAAATGTTTTATAATATAATATAGATATAATATTTCTTAATAATTCGTTTAACGAACAAAACAATTAAATTTGACAAAAAAATCTTTTTTTTTAATATTATTATATTTTTAGGATAATATAAAAAAATTATTATTTCTTATAAGAAATAAAATAGAAGTGATATTTAACAACTATGCAACGGTCATTTACGTGTCAATTTATGAAACGAAGGACCAAAAGTGTAATTAAATCAAACTCCAAGCCCTTATATATAAAAGTGGAAGAAGGAGGGAGAGAGAAATGCAGCTTACTTAATTGAAGACAGATTCTGGCGCAGACTTGTCGGAGAAATAAAAAACAATCGCCGGAGAACATCCATTTTCCGGCTGTACGGAGACGCATTTCCATTCATACACATGCTCCGTTGGTTGTTTATCTTCCTTCTAACAGTTCCAGAATGTCGATATATGATAAAGCATTTGTGAACAGCGAGCTCTCAAAACCCACCTCGATATTCGGACTTCGGCTATGGGTCGTCGTCGGAATCTTCGTTGGAGCTATAATTGTTCTCGTACTATTTCTTCTCTCCCTTTGCATCACCTCCCGCCGACGAAACTCCCCGTCGAATAAAAGAAGGAAGAAATTTGAGCAAACACAAACCCTAACCCCCGCTGTGTCGAAGGATATACAAGAGATCATCCATCACGAGTCGTCAGCAGCGGTGGATCACCGTCCACCGGTGCCGGAGATTCAAATTGACATAGGGAAGTCGGAGCACCGGGTGGTTTTCTCCGATCGTCAATCCAGCGGTGAGAGTAGAGCTACAAGTATCGAAACGGCGTCGTATGGTGGTGGAAGTGGTGTCCCTTCGTTGCCGGAAGTTTCGCATCTAGGGTGGGGCCGGTGGTACACGCTCCGGGAGCTTGAGGCGGCAACGAATGGACTGTCCGATGAAAATGTGATCGGAGAGGGTGGTTATGGTATCGTCTATAGTGGTGTGTTGGGGGATGATACTCGTGTGGCAGTCAAAAATTTGTTGAATAACAGGTAATTTTGTTATCATCTCTCAATTCGACTTTTCAGTTGATTATATCATAGCAATTCAAATTTCTGAGTTAGGATTACTCAGAATTTGATAATTGATGCATTTAATCTTGATTCTTCTTCAATGGTCATAATTCATAATCCTAATATAATAGAAGGTAATCTGTGAAATGATGTTAGGGGATGTTCTTCAATACCAGTATCAAAATTCATGATTACCCATATAAGAATTGAGCTCAAATTTCAGCTGATTATAGCCTAAAGAATTAAAAAGCTTAAGTTACTTTCTACCCAAAATTCGATAACTGATACATTTGCCCTTTTGGTTCTTCAACCCTTGTGATTTATGACGCTAATATTGTGATTTATGACACTAAGAGGGTTGGTGTTTTTCAAATTATAGCTTCAATTCAAATTACCCGTATATGAACAATTAATGAATACTTAATGAGTTTTGAGTGTAGCAATTAATGATGCCCGTATTAAGAAGTGATAACTAGGCTTCTATGTATTTTGTTGGTTTACAACATACATCTGTTCCTTTATTCCTGCCTTGTTCTTGAATCAAATGGAGAACTTTGATGACATGAGACTGATGTCATATGAAGTAGTATGATTTGATCAATCTTGACATTATGATGTTATTGCTGTCATGTGTTCTTCAAATCCCAGTTGCATCTTCAATCCAACTTCCCTTTACATTTGGTATTCGTAAGCTTATTGGTGCAATTGGTCTGGATGTGTTGTTGTTGTTGTTGTTGTTGTTTTTGACTTTTTATGTGCTTTATGATGGATGGAATGATGAAATATCAGGGGTCAAGCTGAGAGAGAGTTCAAAGTAGAGGTAGATGCAATTGGCCGTGTAAGGCACAAGAATCTTGTCCGTTTGCTAGGATATTGTGTTGAGGGAGCCTACAGGTAACAACTATATATTTTTTAATAGCATAATTACCATCAAGAATTGTGTTTCTACATCTCATCAAACGTTTGTTTCCAGGATGTTAGTTTATGAATATGTAGATAACGGGAATTTAGATCAGTGGCTTCATGGGGAGGTCGGAGATGTCAGCCCTTTAACCTGGGCTATCCGTATGAATATCATTATGGGAACTGCAAAGGGGTAAGCTAAATATGATTCCTTTCTTATAAACCATCGGAATTTTGGTTCACTTTACCCAAGGAAGGCCAGATCTTTCTTGTATGTGGTTTTTATACTTGATATTCTTGTTGTTTCAGTTTGGCCTATCTTCATGAGGGTCTTGAACCGAAGGTGGTCCATCGGGATATCAAATCCAGCAACATATTACTTGATCGCCAATGGAATTCCAAAGTTTCTGACTTTGGACTTGCCAAGCTTTTGTGTTCAGAAAACAGTTATGTGACAACTCGTGTGATGGGAACTTTTGGGTAAGTTTCAGTTGGTTCCTCTTCATGGTTCTTAAAATATACTTATTCCTTTTCTTAGTTCGAAGAATAGGTTACGTTTTTCATATGATATCCTCGTATGTACTGCAATACCCGTTTGTTTTCTTGCGTTTTTAGAGGGTATTTGAGATATACTTCCAACGTTAAAAAAGGTATTGTTTGACTTTTTGTGGTGAAACTGATTATTTCTCAAATTCAGCCACTCTATTCACTGTGGTAGAGTTTAGGTCTACTAGAGAGTCTCTAGACCCCATCATCAAGTGGGATACTAGGTTCATTTGATTTGGTTATATGTAGTATTTGCTATGTAGTTAATCTACATGGCATGCTTATAGAGAACTCAAAAACTAAAAAATGCATATTTGGAAACTCAAAAAGATGAACCTTTTTCATCTGGCGGTTTTTCTCGGCCGGAAATTAATTAATTACTCCTCCTCAGCTATGTTGCACCGGAGTATGCTTGCACAGGTATGCTAAACGAGAAGAGTGATGTATATAGCTTTGGTATACTTATTATGGAGATAATTTCGGGAAGAAGTCCTGTTGATTATGCTCGACCACAAGGAGAGGTTAGTCTTTGGTTCTTGCATACCAAATTACCAACTACCCTTATTAATTTGAAGTTTGTTCTCAATTGAAATGAGCCATTATTACAGGTGAATTTAGTGGAATGGTTGAAGACAATGGTTGGAAACCGAAAATCTGAGGATGTGGTGGATCCTAAGCTGCCTGAAATGCCATCGTCAAAAGCACTAAAACGTATACTCTTAGTTGCTCTTCGATGTGTAGATCCAGATGCACTAAAACGACCCAAAATGGGCCACGTCATTCACATGCTCGAGGCCGATGACTTGCTTTTTCATGATGTACGCACCTTTCCTAACGTTTTACAACAAAGACCACTGGGGATTTTCCTGGCTGTTATCTTCAGGGAAACAATGTTTTCTTTTACGGTATGACTTATTCTATAGTTTTGACTAATTTGCAGGACCGACATAGAGAATCTTCACGTTCCCACGATGGTCATAAAGACGAGAATCGTAGATTAGGCGATAAACAGTCTGTTGAAGGAACATGTGATACAAGTGAAGGTGGTGATAGTAGTAGGAACCATAAGTGGAGATAACAACATAATTGATTCAAGGTTTGCAAAGCCTTCTTAAGCTTTATATTTATTGTTTGTTTTTAAATGTTTTTTTCTTCTTGTATGTTAATTTCTTAATATTATTTTAAAGCCTAAAAGTTACATATCATTGAAACAAACACAGTTTACATGTATTGTTATTAAGGTAAATTTAATTACTATTCTTTGAGAGTGCATCACTGCTGTGTAGGATGTACTCTTGGCTGAATCTTTTGTACTCTATGGATATCTGTCTTGGCTTAATTGCTTAAGGGTTGTTTCTTTGCTTGCGGTTGCGGCTTAATGAGTTTAATGGTAATTATGGTATGGATGGCTTAAGGAGTTTTGCCATTCAGTCTTTACCTCTTGGTTTTATAGATTTGGTCATTTGGCCATCTATTTATCTCTTTTTTTCTAGCAATTTAACTTGATTCATACAAGAAGCTCAATGTTGGAAAACTCAATGGTTTAGATGTTTGGTAATTGCTGAATGATTTGGTGCAAAATGATTAAGTGGTCAGAATGATTAAGAGGTTCTCATGATATAGTGCAAAATGAAATATAATTGTTTTTTAGTTGTTTACAATGAAATTAGGACCCTGAATGGTTAAGGGAGACCTATGATACAAAATTATTCAGAGGGTTTTAAAATCATTAAGAGACAGATTTTTTTTGCCATCAAGATTCACCTCTTAACAATTCAGATGTTGTCTTTTAATGAAACTATTAAGAGGTAAACATATTACTACTGAACCTTAAATATTTTACAAGCCAAAATCCACCATTCATCACTTGGTTTTTGGTTTCTAAAATATTTCAAGTTCTTAAATGAACCTTATAGGACAAGAACATTTGTGAACAAAGACGAGAATATTTGTAAGTTCATCATTCTGTTTTATTCAATTCACAGGTTTAAAAGATTAAAGGGGGAGTAAATTATTAAATAAAGGTTTACTTTTTTTAGGAATACTGAAAGCTACATAAGTAAAATGGAGAAAAACTGCGAATCACATAATGAACAGACAGAGATGATGATTGTGAACATCTCTGGTTTTCGATTTATCAGATTATTATCACAGCAAAATCACATCATAAGAAGTTGCCGATCTATCAAAAACTTATCACATTATTATTACAAAATTATCACATCATTGTCGACAACGAAGGTAATCGGCAGTTGATAAATACTTTATTAAATTAGTATCCTTGATGATTTATTTTCATTTATTCTAATTTTGGTTATGGTTCAAATAATCTGTCCAAACTACAACTGTATTTTTGTAAACCAAAGGTGTTCTCATTTGAATTTTTACATATATATATATACACACATAATTATTTACAAACAGGCTTCCATATGTTGTTTCACATATGAAACAACACATGTGAAAATACAATGTTTATATAATATTATTTCATACACAAAACATGATATGCTTTTTTCCACACACAAAAACATGCAATTTTGAATGCATCACATATAAGACATTACTATACAAATACTGCATTTTTACATATGTTATTCTATATATGAAACAATACATTAAAATTAGTTTGTAAATTTAGAGTTGTAAATGAACATACACTTGGTATATATATATATATATATATATATATGCGTGTTTAGCATTCTCGTAAAATGAAAGTGTTCTCGTTTGAAGCTTTATATATATATATATATATATATATATATATATATATAGTTAAAGTTGTAGCAATCCTAAATTGAAAACAAGATTCCTATTGCAAAAGCAAGTGATGGGGTGGTGGGGGACTCATTTGCCAGCTATTCTAATTTAAAAAAAGAAAAGAAAAGAAAAGAAAAGATGGTAAATCTTTTTGTCAGCAATAATGCTATGCTAGTGTGTACATCATGCTGTTTGGAGTTGTACAACTAACTATATCATTGGATTTGCACAAGCCTGGTGGGGGTGGTGCCCATTTGCCAGCTATTTTCATTCATCACAAAAGCTAACTCCACTTTTCAGACTAATAAAAGGTTTGTACATCATGCAATAGACACTTGTACATTGCCCATTACAGAAGTTACAGTGTACAACCCTTTTTGGAGGAAAGGAAAAGGATAAGAAGTAAACTATGCATCATGCAGTGTTCCATATTGGGACATTTCATATCATGTCAAGGATGGTGTTTGATTGGTTTGAACTTGGCTCTAAAGATTAAAAGTACCTGAAGGTCCCAGGTTCAGATCTCAGGAGAAATAAAAATCCCCTTGTGACCACGGAGGTTTAAATGCGGTGACTCCGGGCTATCTGCAAAGCAGGTGGTTGTCCTGGGATTAGTCGGCTCACATAGCAGGTTGGATATCCAGATTCCAGGTTAATAAAAAAAAAAGTGAATTATGTTTTTTTTTCTAATCGTCTTTTGTTTATGTGGTTTGTAATTTTTACTGTTGTATTTGTCTCTAAGACTAACTTTTACCTTATATGAGTTATGTTTCGGTTTGAAAATAAAAGTTATAGTGAGAACAGATCTTCACCCTTGAATCAATCATAACTAATTGAAGAAAACTACTGGATAAACAATAATGAGATACACTAGATCAATTCTCTTGTAGAGCGTAATTAATAAATTGTTTTGGGACTAAAAATGATTAAGGATCCAAATATCTTCTTACACTTCTTATTTTAACTCATATTCTCACGTTGCTAATAATTCATTATGGTATCAAATCATGTATTAATATTATTAATGACTTTTATTTCCATTTTCTCACACTTTGATAGCCCCAACCCAACTATAACACCCGTGAATTATGAGTGTAATGGAAATTGAAATATGCCAAACCCCATTTGATAATTAACACCAAACTTTGATGTCAACAATAATCCTTTTTTTCCTGAATCAATATTATATAATTATATAATCTATACTATATTATAAAGTATTTGACCAAAGGCCTTAAAAATCACTTTTTATGCGTAAAGTACTGTTTATTAATGCATATTACTTCAAGCTCAAGATTACAAGTAGATTGTGCGTAAGTACAACTTATTAAAGCTTCATATCTGAATTCGTGTAACTAACTGCAGATAAACATAATCAAATAC